GAGAGAGAGAGAGAGAGAGAGAGAGAGAGAGAGAGAGAGAGAGAGAGAGAGAGAGAGAGTTTTTAACAGTGAACTGGTTGGCTTGCATGGACAGGGGAAGATGGAAGAGAGAAGGCGGCAACAGCAAAAGGCGAGGGAAGATGCCAAGAGGAGGGAGGAGGAAATCCGAAAACAGAAACAGGCAAGGAGAAAGTCCACACGGGGTCGATGACAGAAGGTTCCGTAAGTGTTTTTTGCGATGTAGAGTTGCTGTTTAACGAATACATTTGCTTAAGGAACTCAAGGTATAAATAGGATAGGAAGAGGACACAAAGCAAGGGCATGAAACGATTTGCAGAGCAAGCACAAATTTCGGGTAGCAGTACGCACTGGTACCCGGGATGTTTTTTTGACAGCAGGGAAACCGAAGTGCTGGTTGCAAAGAGGACACTCAGCTAGTGTCCTACTTCTTTGAGAGAGAGAGAGAGAGAGAGAGAGAGAGAGAGAGAGAGAGAGAGAGAGAGAGAGAGAGAGAGAGAGTGTAAGGCACTGGAAGGAGTAAGGACGACTATCGATGGCAGATGGCAATGGAAGTGAGCAGCAAGGTGTGGAGTGGTTGTGACCTTGTTGGGCAACGTCCAGGGTTGTCGGGGACCACGGTATGAGAACCAAAGGAACAAGATCGTCGGACGTCTCTTTGAATGTGCCGAGTTGTTTTTGGAAATGAACCCGCTAGAAGTCCTTGGAGGCGAGCACGCATCTGGATATCCATGCTCGGAGGCGAACATGCGCTCCTGGGGCATACTCGCACTACCGGGGACTTGCCTGGATGCATCTGGTCAAAATTACAGCCCATCCCGGATGCATTTGATCGCAGTTACATTCAACGTTCAGTCGAAAAAGTCAACTTGTGTGAGTATGCTCTTCGACCCTTCCCTTTTTTAGCAGGCAAACATTAGTCAAGCAGGAGCATGAGCTAGATAAGTTAATGGTTGGCTGGCAAGGGGTGGATGATGCTGATGCTGTTCATCTCTCTCCCTTCATCTCTTCCTCAAAGCGGACAGCGATCACCTGTATGTTGACTTGAAACGAATGGCTTGGGCTTGTACTTGATTATTCGATTAACTATTCGATTGTATTTGCGCTTGTGTTGCTAATGGGCCTGACAGTGTTTCTCAGTCACTTCAGGCGGTTAGCGGGTTTACTATACTAAGTCTTTCGTTCTGCGAGCAGCGAGGACAAGATGCAAAGTCGAAGTCTTTGGCATGTTATCTAGTCGGTCACGTAGGCAACCGTTTGCTGTGGCTTTGCAACTGTGGTGAGTTTTTTGCGAGCTAAAACTTTTTTTTTTTTTTTTTTTTTTTGTTATCGGGAGTGTCAAACGTAGACAAGCTATTTCCTCGATCGGACAACGGAAAAAAGCAATTCCTCAGAAATGATTGGCCAGGATAAGTAGGCTGGGAGTTTGAAGCATGAGACACTGGATTGCTCCGGGCTGAGATGTGGAGGGGGGATTTCTGGCCTCCTTTTGCTCTTGTAATAAAGTAGAGTGTTGCCAAAAAAAAAAAAGAAAAAAAAAAAAAAGAGTGGAAACGTAACCCTCGAGATGGATGAGATAATCTCTTGCCGACACCAAGCCTGTGCCTGATCGAGGATCGAGAAACCGATCTGTCATGACCGATCAAAGGCTTGGACATATAAGTTTAATGCTCTGTAAGCAAGCTGTCCCTTGCTTTCGAATTGCATGTTGACGAAATGAGTTGTGCTAAAAAAAGGATGCAGAAACTTGAAATCTACGGCGATTCGGCGAGAACCTATTCCACCCTCTGTGTACTGTGCAGTGACGACGAGCTAAAGAGGACCCATGGCAATTTTTTTGGACACCCCTTCCCGCTTGTTCCCGTGCCAAAGGCAAGACTCTGATGAGTGGCTGGCTGCATATTATTTGTTTTGTGGATGCATGTTTGAAAGTTGCCCTCTTGTCAGCGCTTTGTTCGTGCTGGCTTCGTTTCAAAGTGCTGTGCACGACAGAATGAAACAGGTGTCAAAGGGCAGATTGGAAAGATGATCAGACAAAATCAGATCGGATCTCGTTGGGTCAGATCGAACTGAATCGGACCCGGAATTGGATTGGAACACATTGGATCGGATGAGATTGGATCGAATTTGGATCGAATTTGGATCGAATCGGATCAAACTGGATTGGATTGGATTGAATTGGATTGAATAGGATTGCATCGGATCCAATCGGAGAAGAAAACATGGGACCAGATTTGGTCCGATCGGATCGCAGAAGTGAACATTGGAACAGACAGGATTAGATTGGACGATGCTGAATGGGATGAAATCACGTCAGTTTTTTTTTGTGTCAGAGGAGATGTACTTGTTTCGGACAGAGTCAAATTATTATCGACTAACGGACCTAATTGGATTGGATTGGATTGGATTGGTGGATCACATGATTGGGCCAGATTAGACTGGACTGGGTGAGCTCAGATCAAGCTTTCGGTTAGATGGGGTCAGGCGAGCCCAAAGCAGATTGACTCGTCGAAATTCACAAAGTTTGAGCTGATGGGATGAGACTGGATCCCACCAGACTGCATCTTATCGGATCGGGATCGGATCAGATCTATTATCAGATCATTATATCTACCCTACCCAACCACATACCATCTGGTTTGATTGGATTGGTTTGGATTGGATTGGGTTGGAGTTCATCAGATAGGGTGATGGGATTGAATTCAAACATTGACATCAGATAAGATGGGTCAGATCAGTTTAAAAAATCAGATTGGATCAAGCTTGGTGGGGTAGCGTCGATTGCAGCAGACCGAAGTCAATTTGCTTGGATTAAGTTTGGATAAGATTGGATGAGAGATTAGCGTAGACTCAATGCGTAGTGTATGGAGGATGGCATTATTTTCATTTTTCTCCAACCCCCCTCTCAGAGAAGAGAGCAACCCGCCTCAGCTAAGTTTTCTTTTTCTTTTTCTTTTTTTCCCTTTTTTTCTGAATATAATTTTATCTATATTCTAATTCTAATTATTCTATATATCGTCATATATACTTTATATTTTATATTTTATATTTTATATTTTATATACTTTCTAAAGACTAATGTGGTTCTCTGAGGGGTTGTGTTGACCGATGATGACGACCAAGCGAGTTGGGACCACGGTGAATATAACTCGATAAGTTAATTTTTTTTTATTTTTTATTTTTTTTTTTACTTAACACATGAGCCGAAAATGTCGGAGGTTCACACGAGGCCCGCTATTTTCCCACCCGACGCCCGCTATTTCCACATGCGGCAAAGGTAATAGAGCTTTGTTATGTTTCCAGAAAAAAAAAGAATTGCGCATTACATGGGCGCTACGGTAGTCTCGCCCAGTGGGGACCCAGCCAAGTCGCACGCTTTAGCTGATGACACATGTCTCTTCTTGGCCTTACAGGACTCGGCCTTTGATGCGTTGAGGCAGAACTTGGGTCCCCAATGGGCGAGACTACCGTAGCGCTCATGTAATCCGGATTAATTCATCTCCGCATTACATGTGCCCACTGGGCGAGAGAGCAGGAGAGCTTGGGCTGGTTCTCCGACGCAACGGAGGCTAACTTAAAGGTTAATTGGCAGAAAAACGTTCTCCTGCTCTCTCGGGATTAATTTATCCCTGTCCTCAAGAATGGGGTCTCCAAATTGCTCACCTTCCTTGATGACTCTGAGCGCCTTCTCGTGCGGTATGTCCCTTTCGGGGGCAGATTCGGCATTGAATGTTGACTCATTTGACACTGCGATCTTTGATGCTTTTCGGAGGCAGGGACGGTCGAGGACGGTGGCTTCCTTAGCACAGCCTTTGGTTCTTAGCAAATTTAATAGCAACACGCTTTTCTCTAAATCGTGCTATATTCATGCTATTGCTCCATTGCCTAAAGGGGATGCTCCATAGGCGAAGATCAAGGAAGATGCAATCAAGGCCGTCGTTTTTGTTTTTTCTAATTCGTGCTTTATTCATGCTAAAACGTCATCGTTTTTCTTTCCCTAAATCAACGTCCTTCTTTTTTTTTATTTATTCTTCTCTAAATCGCCCTATGATCATGCTATTGCACCATTGCCTAAAGGGGATGCTCCACCAGTCAACATCGAGGAAGATCCAATCCACGTCGTCGTCGTTTTTTTTTGTTTTTTTTTTTTAAGATAAAATAACGACTGTCATATTTTACTGCTTGAATTTGCTTCATTGGCTAACAGTATATTGTCTTTAATATTTCAGTCGCAACAAAGAAAACAGATTGATCACGATGCATACGAAGACTTTTTTTTTTTTTTTTTTTTTTTTTTGCTATTCGTGGGGAGCATCACGTGATGGGAATCTGGCCCAGCGTCCCTTATAATGGAAATACATTAATGATTGACAATTGATGAAAATTTAGGAGATGCTCCAATCTATTTGTGGGGAGCAACACGGCTGGGAACCGGGGCCTTTTTTCCCTTATCAGAATACAAGGATGAGCTATGCTATTTTAAAAATTTTTTTTTTTTTTTTTTTTTTTTTTTTGTGTGTGTGTGTGTGTCAACAAGCCTCTCAACCTAGATCGTCTCCTCACGCCGAACCGCTGGTTCCAGGAACGAAAAGCTAAACCGACGAAGGTGAAGTCGCCGTAATGGCAGATTGCGCATCGTTGTCTGGCAACAAATGAATGGGGGTAGACCATACTCACCGGGAACGGAAAGGATTAGCGACCCCGTGGTGCCTACGGTGCCGGCCATTATTCCCCTACCACGAAAGGGCCGAGACGATCGAGCATATCTTTGTGCAATGCCCGATTGCACAACATTCTTGGAGATGGTGGGAGTGGATCTGGAGGAGAATGGGTATAGAGACACCCTGGCCTTGCTCCTGGAAGACAATCCTGGCAGGACGATGGCAACGTCCGCACGAAGCTACGGCCTTTGGGGATAACATGTATACGCTGGGAAGATAGGCGATACTGTGGGCATCGTGGTGGCAAGGATGTCTCCTTGCAATAGAAAAAGTGCAGGTAGACGGAGCCAAAATTGCAGAACAGATACAGCAGCAGATCCATCCAGAATTAACCCGTAGATGGCTTGCCTTGAAGCCGCAGTTGGATATATAGCAGCAACATGGGGACGTCAGTCGAGCAATCACCGGGTTTTGTGGAAACAGGTTGGGTGGAGAGAGGGGGGGTTGGATAGCAGGAGTAGAATGAAACGCAGATCAGCTGGACAGGCAGCCATACCTAGAGAGAATGAGGAACTACCGACTGAGTTTCAGGGACTGGAAAAGCATTGAGCCCTCTTTCCCACTGCCCCCCCCTCTCCCCCACAGGCTTCCTTAATCCTTTCCCGTCCCCATCCCCTCTCTCTGGTTGAAACCGTGACATAAAGATTCCCCGGCAGACCCCTCCAAGTGCCCCTCGGGGGGTGAAGCTGCTTAAAGAATACTCTGCGTGCAGTGATTCTCTATGAAACACTGGCAATGAGGCCCACGGTATCCCGCCGCAGGGGAGCTCAATGGCGTTTAGACCCACAGGGTGACGACGGATGCTATTGTAGGCATGGCAGAGAGTGTTCAAGAGGCAAAGAAGAAGCGGACCGCGGTCAGCAGCAAAATGACGCCCTCGCTTGCTCCTTCCCTAACAAGCAGCTCTCGTTTTGACACACGGTGACGACGGATGGTACCCTTCTTCCCAGGAACATAACACATATGCGTTGGAAACAAATACAGCGCATAGGGTGCCTTCTATTCGAATACAATGCAAATGTGTTCTGTTCGAATAGTCCTAAATTTTGAATACAACGCATGTGTTCTATTCGATTTTTTGTTTCAAAATTTGAAACTCGAATACGACACATATGCGTTATGTTCACGGGAAGAAAGGTAGGTATGGCAGGATAATTCAGGCGCCGAGCGGAAAGGGTGAAGAGGCACTGCTGTCACCTGAACTCCTCTTACCGCACAATCAATCCCCCTAGGCAACCTGGGCCAATCAGGGCGGGCGGGATATTCTTACGACTGTTTCCTGTTTACGTCGGATTGTAATTGGGACGTTGGACCCGATTTCCGGCAGGTGTGGCTCCCCACTAATGGATGGAGCAATTGGGGACAGTTGATAAAGGAGGCTGCTCGTACCACCCCCTCTAGTACAGCTCACTGTGTTTTGTTTAAACCACCGCTACCTTTCCCATATGTCGGCAGCGGGCATCTAGTAGCCAACTCCTGAAAAATAGCCGCCATACCGCCGTCGATATTTTTCATCGACAGCGGTGTGGCGGGCAGATTTGAATTTGAGGCCCGTGGCCGTGGCCCCACATATGAGAAAGGTAGCGGTGGTTTAAAAATATATATATACATATATAAATCATGCAATCAAAAGAACAATGTGTCTTGACAGGATAGGCAACCTTCCCTACGCTTCCCCACGTTATAACGAGATGCCAGTTGGAGTCTAGTCCGGGGTCATATTTTCCTCCATGTTAACTAGAGCCGCATATAATTTTTCTGTTGAAAGCTAGGCTGTTTTTCCAGGTGCCCGATTGCATCCAACTTGTGCCCGGATACACGCGGAGGTGCCCGGCCGGGCATGAACCCTAAGTAGGGTTCCGGCTAGCCCCAGTGCAAGGGGAAAAAGAAAGAGTCCAGGGAAAAAAAAATGTTGTGTAGAAT